CACTTTAATTTTATAATTTGTAAAACTCATAGTTGCTGTTGCCCACATGTAACTAAACAAGAATGAACTCACATATCTTCCTGACTTAAGTTCTTAGTAAACCAATATATTCCAAAATTGGCCTGATTGAAATTTGGACCAATCACATTTCCCCACAGCTTGTTCAAACATCTCTGTAACTTCCTTGGAGAAAGAAGGAGGTTGAGATAGCTTAAAATTCAAATAGAAACTTTAACACCCTTGAGATTCTTTGGCATCTTTCCTGTCTTAAAGTGTGTGTAGGCTGGAGACAATGATTTGGATAGCATCATATGGTGAGGTATACAGGGGTAACCACTGTAGCTTTGGATCTGTGCTTCCAAGAAAGCTAGAGATTTCTGTTACCTTAGTATTTAATGTTTAATGTTTTCTAATAATTAGATCTCCTGAGTAATGCTTTCAGGCCAAGTGCTTAGATACTTAAAAGCACTTAATAAATGCTTGTTGACTAGCTGATTAATTGATACCATGGTAAGACTAGGAAGTGTTCAATAAGCATTTATTTATGAGGGTTGTAATTAGACATAATTTGAACCATGCAATAGGGTTTCTTTATATAACTAATATACCTGAGAATTCAATTTGGGCAACAGAATAAATAATATAGTACTGAATTATAACCCACGGTATTAAATTAATATCTGTAAATCCATGCTGATATAAATAAAGGATTGAATAAATAAGTGGAGGATAATAGGTAAATATCCTATAAAGAAGAATTCAAACTAATTATGTGTAACTTCCCATCTCATCCCTTAAGTGTGGGATTCACTGAGTGACTTCCTTAAATCTAAAGACTGTGAAAGGGCTTAGGGGTAGGGTGCAGAGGGATAGTATCTTTACAGTAGAGAAAACTGGCAAATACTACCTCAGCCAGTTAGCATCATCAGTGATCAGACATGTTGTTAGTAGAGATCCTTGATGTGTGATTAAAAATGGCTCTTTACCTCACTGGCCTTTCTCCCAAAACCCTATAATCATTGTGAAACCATTGGGAAACATCAGGTAAAACAAAATTGAAGGTAAATGTGCAAAATATCTGACGAGTATGCCTGTTTTGCCAAAGTCATCAAAAACAAGGAAAATCTGAGAAACTGTCATAGTCAAGAGAAAT